TGAATATACAATCCTGCCTTTGACTAAACACTCCTGCCTGTGAATACCCTCTCCTGCCTGTGAATACCCTCTCCTACCTGTGACTAAACACTACTGCTTGTGAATACACTCTCCTGCCTGTGAATATACAATCCTGCCTGTGACTAAACACTCCTGCCTGTGAATATACAATCCTGCCTGTGAATATACACTCCTGCCTTTGACTAAACACTCCTGCCTGTGAATATACAATCCTGCCTGTGAAGATACACTCCTGCCTTTGACTAAACACTCCTGCCTGTGAAAACCCTCTCCTGCCTGTGACTAAACACTCCTGCCTGTGAATATACACTCCTGCCTTAGACTAAACACTCCTGCCTGTGAATACACAGTCCTGTCAGTGCCCAGTCCCTGGCATGACATCATCAGCCTTTGATAATCATCTACCATGTGTTGGGGTGTTTCCTTCACTGGTTTGATTGTTTAAGGTTTTTTTTTAACACTAAGAACATATAATCATCTTGTTCTTTGACTGTGATTACCCCCTAAGAGCACTTGCGAGTATGATGGTGTGTGTAAGATTTTAAGATATATAAAAACATGCTGCAAGCTCTAAACATTCTGTTCATGTGCGAGTGTACTGACCCCCCGTGTCTCCTTCTGCGTAGCTGCAAATTTAACACATTTGCAGATCAGTGTCCAGTTCCTGTCACAGTATGCGGTTGCAAATCTTTACCACTGAAATGTGAAACGCTGCAGTAGTTTGGCTCCAGATGATATTGAGCCTTCATTTCATTACACAAATGTGATGATTTTCTACAAACAGTTGTGTGTTTGCCGCAGGGCATCAACTGGGGTAGAACCAGCAGTGGACCTTCATTACAGGTAAAGTTACAAAGCGGTCAATAAACAACAGAATAAAATTACTCTGATTAAACCTTTTACTGTGTTTACAGGATGACGCCACTGAAATAGCGGAGATCATGTTTAGTGCACATATACAGTATCGACTGGCGACGTTCGGAGGGGCAACATACGACTCACCACCACTGATATTTATCTCCAGCTCCTGCTATGTACACACCACATGGTGCATGGGAGATACAGAAATACTAGCAACTCATATTGCTCCAACAGAAACAGCTGAGGTGTGCTTACTGAAAGCTGACTGCAGAGAAAGTACTAGTGGGTGCAGAATACCTTTTGGGGGATGGGGTGGGGGTAGCTTTATTAACCCATTTCTACACTGAGGCTGGAAGTTACCTTATGGCAACTAGTAATGTTTTTACACACTACATACATGTGTGAGCTGAATATAAGTGTTCCTAATGAATGCCAAGGTGCTTAATTCACCAGCTCCAGCACATATACACAACACTGATACAAAAATACTAAAACAAGAGAAACACAAACACTTGTTGTTTTTTACATGCTGAGAATGAAAGTTTTATTGGTCATATTAATAATAAACTCAAAGGAACTCAATGCAAATGATGGAAACAACCATAAAACAGATCATCCTTTACGTTGTTTGAAGAGTTTACTTAAGTGGTTTTCCAGATATAACCATGTGCAGTTCTGAGATGCGGATGGGCACTTAATGTAAAAAAAAAGAATGTGACTGAATTGCTTGAAAAACACATAAGTCAATAAGTAAATCTGCTAAATGTAGAAGAAAAGAAAAGAAAAAAATGAGACTGCTGTTCAGAAAACTGTAAATGTACAATATTTATTCTGAACAGCAGTGTCACTTGTCGGATATCAGGCACAAAGCTTTGCTTAAATACATGCTACAGTTGCTAAATTTCTTCTAGACCCATACATTTAGCATTTAAGACTAACTTGTCTTATTATCTGCATGCTGTACCCAAAAAATCTGAGCAGATATATGTTCAAATACATCCAAACTGTTAGATCTCTCCATCCCAGTTGGCATTCCATTGACGTAGCCATTGTTGACCTGTTTTAAGTCAGGTGAGCTGTTTCTGAAGGAAAACAAAAACCGGTACATAGTAGTTGTTCAAAGGACATATTAATCATGAGGATGAGAAAAAAATTGTAATTTTGTTTATTACTTAGACAATTTTTCTGACATTGTAATGAATGCTTTAAGGCTGTGTGTATTTTATGTTTAGTAAAGATTTTTCAGTGAGCTGAAGTTGTAACGTGCAGACAAATGAAACGGTGGGTTCTCATGTCATGCTGCCAAGATGGATGACAGCACATGTCAGGATGAGTGGGGGGATTAGAGAGGACAGGCAAACAGGCAGTAACTTCTTGCCCTCCCCTGCCAGTATATATTCACAGACCCATTCTGTTTATGTGCTGATGATTCTTTCAGTCTCTTTAAATGAGAACAGGATTTATATTTATTTAGACTTATTAAGACTCGCCTAATTTATTTGCATTTTGTTTCCAAACAGCTAGCTTTTCTTGTGAAATTGGAACATTGTCTTTATCAATAATGTACTTCTCCAGGATTTTTTGAATGCCTTGCAGAGTATTTATTTTTTAATATTTTTTGCACTTCGGCTGCTTTCTTCACTCATGTTCATTCCAGATGTTCTACTATGACAGCATATTGTAAGAAAATAAGAAAGAAAAAGGAAACTTTCACAAATAAAATGTCAGAACAGAAACAAATATCTACAGCTGATATTTGAAAGAACATGGCTTTAAAGAACATGGCTTAAAGACAAATACCTGCCTAAATAAAGACAAAAATAATCTGTCCATTTTCTGCTGGTAAGCTATAGTTGGATCTCTGAGGCAACAGGTACTGGAAGGAAACCCTCTGCAGCAACACTGTCCAGCTCCTCCTGGGGTATTTTGAGACATTCCCAGGCTAGAGAGATTATTTAATTTCCCCAGAGAGTTCTCGGTCTGGTCTAGGGTTACCTCCCAGTGGGACGTGGCGAAGGCCATTGCCTGAAGATGCCAACAGAACCACATAGTTTGGAGAAAGCAGAAACAAGACCCATAGGTTCCCACACCAGAAACCTTATTTTCTAGACTGTGCCATAAGATTTTGTCCAAGAACACCAAAAACAGACTCCGTGACCAGGGACAGCCCTGGCAGAGTCCAACCTGCACTGGGACTGAGCTCATCTTTGTGCTGAAAATGTGGCCACAGCTCTTGCTATTGCTATATAAAAATTGCAGAGCCCTCAAAAGCAACTCTGTCACCCCATACTCCCTCAAGGCAATCACCAGTGATCTATATCTGCAATAGAGGTCCTGAACATGGTCCATTTAGATTCCATTTCCTCGACCACCCTGGTGACATGCAAAATCCTCTCCTGGAAGTGTGTTGAAAATCTCAGAGAGCCAGTTCACCCTCATTATTGGCGTTTACCAGCTCTGTCCATCAGCTTCCACTCCCTACTGGTAAAAACTGCACAGCCCATGGTGGCCTGGTACTAATTACATTTACAGATCACCCTACGCTCAATCATGGTGTTTGTTTTGGACAGCCCATGTCTTGCACAGAAGTCTTACAACATTGTTCAGATGAAAAAAACAACAACTATTCCTTCCAATCACTCCCCTCTTGGTGACACCATCATTGCCCACATGTTCATCAAAGTCCCCCAGGAGAATCATGGGATTCCAGAGGGCACCCCTTCCAGGAATCAATCCAGAGACTCCAAGAATGTTGGGTAGTCTGAACTGCTGTTTAGTGCATCATCAGAAACAGCCAGAACCTTCTCTCCTGTAGCTTGAAGCCCCAGAGAGACAACCCTCTCATCTACTAGTGAGAACTCCAACACTGAAGTGCTCTGTCTAAGTTTTTCCACACACCCCAGATACTCTCTCCTTGGATAATTCTGGAGTAGGAGAGAGTCCACTCCCTCTCCAGGAGTCAGGTTCCAGAGACCAGGATGTGTATAGTTACAGACATAAAACTAGTTTATGTTCCCCAGAAATTGGCACAAACTGGGCCCTGCTCTCACCTGCTACCTGGGTCACACAGACTTCACACAACCTTGAAGGCTCTCCTTGAGGGTGATTGGCCTACATGGGGGTACCTTCCTGTTATTTTGTTTGGGCTTTGGCCAATGCACTCACCAGTGTGCTTCTTCCCAGTCAGGTTCTGGGGTTTATCCTAGTTTCCCTTTTCTGGGTCAAGACTACAAGAAATTCGGACTCCTTGGAAGCTAAATTTATTTAAAAAAAATTTATCAAGTATTTTGTACAACACTGTGAAATTTTTCATAGTCATAAGTAGTGAATGTTCATAGGATATATTATATATGGTAAACTAATTTTAGGACCACCTGTTTATGTCACCTTGCAAACCTGCTTGAATATAATGAAGGCATTTTAAATTAAGTCCTGTGGTTTTGTGTTTGACATAATCATGCAAAATGTATGCCGGTGCTGTGGGATGTACTCATGTCGCTCAAAGAGGAAGTTCTATATTTTATAGCCTAATAAAATCTTCATTCTAAAGTCTCATTGTATAACTGTTTTTCCCCATTTAATGACATACTACTCTAGGTTTAGATAAATGTCATGTATTGAATACATATTGCTGCCAGAAACATAACTGTGATTCCAAACGGGACTTGTGTCTTAGCGTAGAGCAGGTCACAACATGACAGGTGCTGTATCATTTTACCATTAGCCTGCAGAGGCTAAGTGTGAGCGGCCAAGGAATCCAACATGCTGACAAACAGCATGTGAGTCAGTGTGTTGTGTAATGCACAAGCACGTTTGGCACCTGTTGATTTATGAGAACCCCTTTGGAAACAGCATCCAAGGAGTCATAAGAATTTTAACAAGGTTGATAAACATATTAATACATACTTCATATTTTTTAGAGGTGCAATTAAATGAAATAATATCCAGTTCAGCAGTAAATTTTAGCACAGTAAATTTTGAATGTGTTTAGACATCTTGTTCCCAGAAGAGTGATATTTCTGTTCATACAGAATAAAAGTTCCTGAGATTTATACATTAGAATTCAAACAAGTTCTCACTTTTTATTAAGAAAAACAGAATGACTCTTACTGTCAATGCTTGTAAAATGAATTAAAATAAATTGTGCTGACAAACATCGAATGATCAAAAGTGTTATTCTTACAACCCAAAGTAGCAGCACATGGACAGTTTGATAAAACCATGACTAATCAATAGGACTGAAGAGATTTGTCAAATAACTCTTAGTTTGTCTCAGGAACAGTTGAGGCAAAACTCATGAACATTTCTTTTTAAATGATTTTTTAAAACACTTTCTGCTGCTTCAGGTATCAAATATTAGTTTGTATGTAGTAGCAATACTTAGTACACAGATAATGCAAAATGTGTATCTGATGTCCCTGATGGGGACATATCACGACATATATTTGTTTGTGCCTGGTACTAACTGTGCACGTTCTTGGTACTTGGTAATTACTGAGTATGTATATACCAGTACCAGTATGTGTTATGTACTTGGTATATACAGGCAAGAACCCTGTGAGCTCCATGCAAGTACAATGTAAATACACTGTGGGTTCCATGTAAGCTCTAGGTACATATTCAGTACATCCCAATTAAGTATCTTGTAAGTAGCAGGCAATTACTCTATAAGTGCTATTGGTACATGCCCTGTAAACATCCCTTACATAGCACATTATCTTGTAAATACCAGGGAAAAACCCTGTAAGTACTAGTCTAGTATCATGTAATTACCCACCTGTTAAGGCTTTTTCTTTTGTGTGTGTGTGTTTAACAAAACAAGGGATGATTACACAATTTTTCTTTCTGCTTCACAGTTTTGCTTTCTGTTCGAAAATAACAATAGGGTAGATTCCCACAGTTGATAGGACAATAAAGGCATCATGTGAGCACCATAAATGTTTCCTTTGACAGATGTGCACCGAAACAACCAAGTCCCTCATACCAAAACTTGACGCATAAGGAGCTTTTCGCTGTCCTGAGGTCCAGAATGTTTTTTATGGTTTCTTTAACACACACATGCACATGACACACACGACACATGACCCCCATCACCATGAAAGTCAGGCCCTAACAATTTGTTGACCTAACTGCCCTGAGCATACAGTCGTTGAGTAAAGTGTTGCAGCACATAGAATAAATGGGACCAGAACCGGCCTTTAATGAGGCTCACGCACTTTTCTCACTGTGTTCTAGCACATGCTGTGCAAGCTTGGTGGCACACAGAAACGATTTGTCACACTCCACGCAGACAAAGATCCTCCCAGCGCAGGTTTGCTCCTGGTGCAGCGTCAGCTTTGCCAGGTGGCTGAAGTTCTTGCTGCAGCCCGTGCAGCTGTGGGGTTTCTGATTGTTGTGGATGAACTGGTGCCGAACCAGACGGGAGGCCATGGCGAACGCCATGCCACACTCCGAACACTTATGAGGCCGCACTCCGCTGTGAATGGCCTCGTGCTCTGTCAGGTTGGAGGATTTCGTGAAGCACTTGGAGCAGACAGAGCAGACGTACGGACGCACTCCCATGTGGATTTTCTGGTGTTCGGCCATGCGACTGGCCAGGGCAAATGCTTTTCCACAGTCAGGGCAAGAGAAAGGTCTTTCTCCCAGGTGCTTCCGCTCGTGGCGCTTCAGGGAAAGGGGCTTGTTGAAGGTCTTCCCACAGTGTGTGCACGGGAAGGGCTTGTTGTTGGTGTGCATGTTCCTCTCATGCTTTCTCAGGTCAGAGGAGCGTATGAAATCCTTTCCACAGGAGTCACAGATGTAGGGCTTCTCACCTGTGTGCGTGCGGATGTGTTTGCGATAATCTGAAGACCAGATGTATGTTTTCACACAGAAGGGACAGTGATATGGTCTCTCACCAGTGTGCAGACGTTTGTGCTGCTGCAGTGTGCCCTGATGAGAATACGCTTTACCACAAATGTCACACACATGTGGCTTGAGTCCGGTGTGAGTCTGCAGGTGACTCTGCAGGTTACAGAGTTTCTTGAAAGCCCAGTGGCAGTGTGTGCATTTGAAGGGACGCTCTTCAGTATCTACCGCAGTCCGTCTTTTCATGGCAAATAAAAGTTGAGGGACTTTGTTATCTTTACATTTTTTTGGACAGTTCTTACTAAGACCTTTCCCATTTCTGATTTTGGTCTTGTTTTCATTTTTATCATTAATTGTTTTCAGATTAAGAGGCTTCTGTTGTTCTTCATTTTGGCTCTGGGTGTGTTTGGTGGATTTTCTTTTCTCCTTCTTCAAAGCCTCTGCCAGCTCATCAATATGGTCACATAATTTATTGGTCTCAGTGTGTTTTGAATGTCTCAACAAGGCTCTGCTGTTGTCTTGATCATTGTTGATTTCGATGTCTACTGCCGCTGAAAGCTGAGAAAACTTCTCCACAAGAGGCCAGTTTGGTGTTTGAGGGTTCAGGTAAAGGACTTCCCTCTCTGCAGGTGAGTCCACGCCTGGCCAAACTCTCACAAACAAAGAGTCAGTCTTTTCCTGACTCATGACGGGTCCATCTGAGGGAGAATCAGTCCCACAAAGTTTTCTTTCACATTTCTCGATTCTTTTTCCAACAACTGTCCCATTCGACATCTGCAGATGAACAAATATTTTTATTTTACACACCTTGCATGAAGACCACAGCAGAGTCAAGGACACATCTATTACTGCACATGCCCTCACAAATTTCATTTAAATGACAACTCAATAACAAAACATTATTAGAAAAATCTTTGAGCGTTGTTTAAAAAAAATTACATTATATAGTTTAAAAGACTGAAAACATCTTGTAGAGCAACTTACACTGTGTTCTCCCTCGAGGCAGGTCAGTCCAACATATGCCACAGAGTTACACTGACCCGGGGTCTTGAATAACTTCAGGAAAGATGTTCAGGGGGTCTTTGTGGGCGGGACTTGGCAGCAGCCATCTCTGGGTCAGCATCTTTCCTGCAAGTCAGCAGCAGCAAGTATATCTACAGAACCAGGCTCACCTTACCTTCCTGTCACTTAGGAGTACCAGCCATTTGTACAGCCTTTAAAGTACATCACACACACACACACACACACACACACACACACGCACACGCGCGCGCAGAGTGTGTTTGCCTTCAGTGTTAAGATTATTATATTATTATTATAAGTTGTTTAAAGTTTCTATGTGCTATTTTAACCACTCATATGTCATGACAGTAGACTCGACTGGAAATAGTGTGCTATGAGTTAGTTTTTGTAATGTTTACATTTAGAAAAATATTTCACCTCTTCAATTCCCTCAAAACATCATTTTTTTTAAATCTACTTAAAAATTTCTTGTTCTACTTTGTCTTCTTAGGCTACTTTTAAGTTATGAATTTGGGTTTTGCTACTTTTAGCTACTATTTAGCCTGTTTTTATTTTTAGGTGCAGTTCAGCTAATTTTAGTTTTATCCACTCTTTTGCTGATTTTAGCGTTTACCTGTTGTTTAGCTCAAATTCACATTTAGCTAATGTTTTGGCAATTTTAGCTCAAGTTTGCTCATTTTAGGTGTCCTTACTGTTTTGTTAATTGTAGATTTACCCACAGTTTAATTTACTTTTGTTCTCTAGATTTTCTAATTTTAGCTTTGTTTTTGGAGCAGCTGGTGGAACCTCCTGCAGGAGGTCCCACTGCTCATATAGCTTTAATGAACAAAACAGGTGCTAATTTAAACTAGTGGCTTTGAGGTAGCGCTTTGAAAAAAATTGTTGTTAAATTAATAAAATAGTTTTAAAAAGTAGAAAAAGAAAACTTTTTCTAGATAAAAAGCTTATAAAAGAATTAATCAAAATTATATTAAATGAAAATGTTAGTACAATACAAAACTATTTTAGCTTCAAATCAATTGGAAAACACACACATGTTCATCCATCGAAGTCACAGTAAAGCAGGGCTATTCAAACGGTGGTCCATGGGCCACTTTGGACCTGCAGGTAACAAGTCTGGCCTGCCAATGAGTTCAATAATAAAAAGAAGAAAGGAAAATCAGAAAACATCTGTGAGAAAGACCTTTAAACAATTTAAAATGACAAGTATTTCAGTCAGAGAGGCAATCCTGTTATCTCCCCATCTAAATTTTCAGCATCTTCATGATTTTACCGAAGAACACTAAGAAGAGACCCCTTCCCATTGAAAGCATTGACTTACACAAGACCAGATCAGACCAGGTCAGGCCTCACCCTGACATTCTTCAGCAAGGATGCTCACTCTTGAATCACACAGTGTTATCCCCCTTATAGTTCCTGGAACAACCTCTGACTCCTGGTGTCAGTTTAAGGCCATTGACAGACTTCAACAGAAATACTGAAGCAAACCTGAACAGGACGTTAACAAGAACAACCCATTTCTACACTCAGAAACATTGCAAACAATCAAAAACATGGTAAACAGTCAAAAACGTCATAAATGGTCAAAAACATAATATATGGTCAGAAACATTGTAAACACTAAGAAAACGTAAACACTCAGGAACTTTGTAAACACTCAGAAATACCATAAACAGTCAGAAACTTCATAAGCAGTAAGAAACATTGTAAACATCCAGAAACATCATAAACACTCAGAAACACAGTAAACACTCAAAAACATCGTCAACGCAGAAACATTATAAACAGTCAGAAACATTATAAACTCTCAGAGACACTGTAAACACTCAGAAACATTGTAAATGTTAGAAACATTGTTAACAGTCAGAAACATTGTAATTACTCAGAAACATCGTAAACACTCAGAAACATCGTCAACACTCAGAAACATCGGCAATACTCAGAAACATTGTCAACAGTCAGAAACATTGTCAACAGCGAGAAACATAGTCAACACTCAAACATTGTCAACACTCAAAAATATCATCAACAGTCAGAAACATCATCAACACTCAGAAACATCGTAAACACTCAGAAAAATTGTAAACACCCAGAAACATAGTCAAAACTCAGAAACATCAATCTCCACTCAGAAACCTTGGAAACTCTCAGAAACATCATAAACACTGAAACATATTGTCTACAATCAGAAACATTGTCAACAGTCAGAAACATTGCACAGATAAGTTCCACAAGGCATCATGCTTTGCAGCTTACACAATTTCTCTGGGACTCTCTCACAGACTTTTTATGAGTTTGAGGGAAAATAAAATAAAGTTCAACAGAGACACACATCTTTGTTTTAATCTGGGGCCTACAAATATCCATGTTTTGGTGTTAATAACATTTAATAGTAATTAAATTAGCAGAAACATGAGTGGAAAGGCTGCACACTTTTTCTCTCCTGCTCAGCGGGGACTTCTAATAAACTGATCATATCAGCCAGATTAAATGGTAATGGTAAATGCACTGTACTTATACAGCATCTTTCTATCTAGTCAAGATACTCAAAGCGCTTTACAATACACAACGTGTGCCCTCATTTACCCATCCACACAGCACTACTAGAGCTCTACAAAGCTAATTTGAATCTGTAGAGACTAATTGCTTTAGATCACATTCATACATTGATGGGACACACATCGGCAGTAATGAGGGGTAGTGTATTGCCCAGGGACACTTCAACTGCTGGTGGAATCGAACTTCCAACACTCCCATTGGAGGATGAGTGCTCTAACTACTCAGCCACTGCTGCCCCTAAACAAACAACAATCAGATTCATTATTGGGGTACTATTGATGAGGACGCACAGCAGCTTTGTAGTTAGTAAACAAATGGTTAACTACAAAGTGGATGGCTTTAGTGAGTTAATTCATTTTAGTAAATGGCACAAGGCAAACGTTCAACATGCAACAAGCTCACTTTCAACCCAGCTGAGTTCTGCTCCGCCTCTTTTGGTTCCGCTCAAAGCTCACACCTGAGCGAGATGTAGACGCTTTACCTGTGATTTATGAAGCGTTAGAGGAAGGACTGGTCTGAGCAGAACTGGTTCTGAATGGACCCACCTGGAACAGCAGCATGTTGGTCAATCAGGGGACATACAAAACAGTCAATATTTGTTTTATTTTGAAAAGCTGTTTTGTTTTTGCTGTACAGCACTTTGGCTGGCCTTGTTGCTGTTTTTAAGTGCTTTATAAATAAAGTGGTATTTGTCAAGTCAGAGGTGGCAGGATAATATTTGTGTTGAATAGGAGGCATAGTGTGTCATTGATATTGTTTCACATTAGAATATATCTACTTTTACTGCAAGGAAAAACATCTTTATTTGAATTACCTACAATTTTGGGTTCTGTTTATATATGATTCAATGCAGCAGAATAAACACATTCCAATGGTAACACATCATTGTAATACTTGGTTTATTTACATAACAACCTTATTTACTGGATGTCCGGCCCCTGAGCTGCTGACTTTCAGTAACTGTGGCCCCCTGAGCAGTTTAGTTGAAAAGCTCTGCTGTAGTTTTAGAAACCTCAATGCTAGATTGGGTTGAAGAGCTGTTTCCATTAATGACCACTAGATGTCGCTGTGTTTCTTTTAGTTCATGAGCCTCTATTACTGCAAGAAAGACAGTGTTACTTAAGACAGAGAAAATGAAAAAAAAAAAAGAAGTTCCTGGTCTAATCTCAAGTGCATCTAATTGTGAAAATGTGTGTTGCATTAAAACTGGATGTGAAAAGTAAAATTTAAAAAGTCCATATATAAATGTATGTGTACACAGGAAACAGTTTGGTTTGAGTCAGGTCCTCTTCTTTGTTGAAACATTTTGTCTTTTATCCAAAAGACTTCTTCAGTCAGAGGAGCTGCAATAAACTCAGTCTCACTATGAGAAAGTGCTGCTTAAGTCTCCACCATGTTAGATTTATCTGCCTGTATTATTGAGCATGTACTCTATCTGGACAGTTTAGGTTTAAATTCAACTTTGACAGTGTAAGGATGGTACCATTTACTGGTTCTGTTTGTGTCTGTGTTTCCCATGTGTGTTCTCTTCAGTTTAATTGGTGTCACCCTTGTCTCGTCACAGCTGTTTGTAATCACGTCTCGTTTTGTCCTGGTATAAAAGCTGTCTGTTCTGTCTTGTTCTTCGTCGCGTCGTATTCGTTTGGGTCTTCTGTGTTCTCCTGAGTCTCCTGAGTTTCCTGAGCTTCCTGAGTCCCGTTTTGAGTATCCCTCCTGAGTCTACTAGTTTAAGTAAGTGTGCTGCCACGTCAGCTTATTGTTTTGTTACTTTTTGTTCATCATTAAAGTATTTGGTTTTGTAATCTGCCGAGTTGAGTCCTGTCTGCACTACTGGGTTCGTTCCTGTCCACCAAACCCTGACAGACAGACTGAAGAGTGGCTGAAAGTGAATATAGGCTGAGAGGAACGATTGCTGAGTGGAAACACTGGATTTAATCACCAGATGGAATGCAGGTGTGAATACAGTAGTGAAAACTACATAATGACACAATCTAATGGTAAAAATACTGAACACAAGCAATTTTAAACAACAATGAAACATTTTATAATTGCACAAAGAATAAAAGACCAACTCTGAACTTAACAGAATGTTGTGAATCATAAATACATGGCCACCTTTAGGCAGTTGAGTAAAACCAAAATAAATCCAGAATCAAATGATTTTCTAATCTCACAAAACTGTATTTTATTCACTATGGAACACTGTAAGATTTTCAAATATATAAAAAAGGTACAATTTTGTGGGAAAAAATTAGGTAAGTAAGTCTTATCAGGTCCTTCAGCTCCTACAGGACCTGAGGAGACCTGCTGGTGTTTTTGAAGGGAAATATGGTCTCATTCTTGTCTGATGTTGAGCAGATAATGGAAAAATGATTCAAATTGTGAGACAAGCACCAAATCTGGCATGATGATTTTCTTTGAGGTATTTGTCAAATCTTCCTGACTGGCCATTTGAAAATC